GGGGGGGGGGGTTTAAAAATTTATCGGTAAAAATAAAAACTGGAAATCGATAATAGTTATTTTTCCTTTTTTAATATATTTTATCAAACAAAAAAAATGGTATACAACAAGCCCAATTTTTATGGCGTAACGCCTCAAAATTTTGCCAATAGACGTCCGAATCTTTCTGTCATATGTGGGCAAAATCTCCAAGCTTGAGTAATTTTCTTTTGGCCACGATCTTGAGTTGACCCCTTCTAAAATTATGCTTAATCGAGCCGTTAAACTGTTCCATTTTAGCAGTGTCTCCAGGAACAGGACCAAAGCTGGTTTAGCGCTTCATAATAGTGTTGGCCAGGGCTCTGGATCCCTCTACTAACAGCTGATCGTAATCCCTTCCCCCCTCCAAAAAGGTTTTAATAGATACTGACTGACTATTATTGACTAAAAAAATACCCCTCCCCTACACCCCCTTGAAATCAGTCCAAATCTAATCCGACCGAACTCGCGTGGAACGGATAAATACTCTCGCTGACTGGTTTTGGCCGGATATTAATATTTTCCAGGACGGTTTAGCACTACTAGCATGTAGAAAATCGCGATTCACTTGTTCTTCTAATTTATTAGTGGAAGGAGGGTGAGGGGTGGGTTAATATTTTCAAAAACCTGATAGTGGGTCCGATATCAATCGCTAAAAAAATATATAGGATACTTTAAAAATTATTTATTGGTATGTAATGACTCTGTGGGAAAACCCCTTTTAAAAATATTCTTTAATTTGTTATATTCATAACATAAACCAAAACAAATCTGAATCTGAGAGGAAGCGAGGTTCTATACTTACCCAGAGTCTATATTAACCGGAGTTAGGTTTGATCCGTGTATGGTATATGGTGACAAAATGTCCTAACCAAATAATTTAAAATGTCCAAACCCTAATTTAGGTTTCATAGCCCTACGTGGGACTGGAAGGGGAAAACTTTTGGTCAAATTTATGTTTTTACCATAAATTTCTTTTTGAAGGCTTTTAGCCAGAATCATTTTATAGCAGGATGGGGGGGGGGAGGTTATAGTGATCTGCATCGGAATGCCCGGGCTCGAACTTAAAAAAATATAAATTTTGGCTGATCTTGGGTCAAGAAAAATGCTTACTGGTTTAAGCCTCTGTGGCTTAACTCGCATTTTTCGAAAGGTCACCAAATTGAGAGAAAGACAAGTTGGGGGTGTAGTCCCAAATCCGTCATCCCCCCACCACTGTCTTCCCGCAAATTTCGTGCAAAAATAAAATAAAATAATGGAAAAATACAAATTTACTTTTTTTTATTTACTCAATATTTATTTAAAAAATTTATAATAAAAAATATTTTTTATATAAAATATATTTAAATTTTATTTAGGGCAAATCAAATCTAATATTTAAAAAAAAAATTAATTTGGGAGGAAAAATAAAGAAGAAAGGCATATGGCAAAAGTTTTTTTTTTATGATTTACCAAAAAAAAGAAAGAAAGTAAGAAAGAAAGAAAGCAAAAAAGAAGGAAAGGGAAAATAGATCAAATCATCCGAAAAGATTTTTATTAAAACGAATTAGTAAGAAACGCAAAGAGGGCCGGTTTTATTAAAAGCCCGATTCGGGTCTTTTAAAAATGACCTCATTCAGATTTTAGCCAAAATGATATTATACAAGCCCGGAGATTCGCTCATAGATGGGTAGAAAGGTTTGGACCTCTATTTGCCAATACTTCGAGGATTATTATTGCCGATTTTTATAAACAGCTATGTCAATATTTTATACAGAAAAATATTATGCAAGTCTAAAGATTTTGCTCATCGATGGCATATAGGATTGAACATCTATTGACGAAATCTCGACGTTTAGACAATATTTTCCTGGCTATAATGTTGAGTTAAACGTTTTTAAAAATCGGCTCAAATCAAGCCGTTTAACAACACTAGCTAAAATCTTAATGAATCGTTTTAAAAAAATCTAACCTAAATCGAGCTTTTTAACAATCCGGGGGGCTCGTATAGATTTGGTAGCTGGTCTATTTCTATCAGAGGATCACAAATGGCAAAATTCTCGGACCCAGTCCGGCCCTTTGGGAATTTAGTTTTTGCCCAACCCGGCACCGGACATTGCAGATCTTTATCTCTAAAATTTTCGCGGTCACAAAAATCTGCTGCCTTTTTATCGTTTATAAAACATGGGGCAGGGTGGGTTGTTTGGTATCGTGGTCGACTAATAGATAGGAATGATCTGCCATCCTAATAGTAAAAAATCGAAGTGATTTATTTCCGAAATTTATCAATTTTTTCTCTTATAATAAATAATAGCTTCATGTCTTTACCGCATTATTGTTAAAAATGAAAAGGATATTTCTTTCCCGAATCAAATAAAAAAAAAACACATCAGAAACCTATTATTTTATTTATCTTTTATTTCATTCTTTTTTTTTGATTTCTTTCTATATTTTTTTTGATTTCTTTCTATATTTTTTTGATTTCTTTCTATATTTTTTTTGATTTCTTTCTATATTTTTTATTTCTTACGAAAATAACGTGAGTTAAAATCACAAAAAACGCAAAAATTTGTCGGAGAAGGGTTGAAACGTTTATTTTTTTTTATCCACCGTTTAAAAAAAATAATATTTTATTTTTAAAAATATTTTATTTTGGCAATAACAATCTTTTATTGGGTGGGGGGATGTATGATAAATTAATTTTTTTTAAAATATATATATAATAAATATAGTACTATATATTATTTTTTTTTCTCCAAAGAGTAAATAGTGGGCAGATATCATATATCGCAAAATAAATATATTTTTTTTCTTTGCATAACATAAAACTAAGTTCCAGATAAAACTATTTGATAAATATAAGGGTTAAGGGGTAACTTAAGCTGTTTTAACAAAAAAAAAAATTACACCTTAGGGTGATTGTAACATGAAAAATGGAGGAAGGATTTCCTCGTAGAAATTTAGTGACTGCCTGATTCATCATATTTCCTTCCTTTACTTTTTAATACTGATTAGCTTTTAGTCATGTTTTGAAACATTATTTAAAGACTCAAAAAAATAAAATAAATAAATATTAAGGTAAATTAACATCTTAAAAGATAAATTTTATGGCTGGCAAGTTATTCTCTACCCATTTCACTCTCTGAATAAGCAGAACCCCTTGTTAATACGAAATGATCGTTTACAATTTATACGGTTAATAATTATGTGTGTTGATAACTCACAACCTCAAAACTTCACCAATAAGTTTGAAAAAAAAAAGGATACCTACTATAAACGACTCTATTAGCCGATTTTTAAAAACGGTAAAGTCAATATTTTAGCCAGAAAAATATTGCCATTAAGCCTCGAAATCTCGCAATAGATATCCAAACCTTTGTGTCATCTATGACCAAAATTTTCGGGCTTGCGTAATATTTTTTCGGGATAAAATATTGAGTGAGCCGTTTAACGACATTTCAACCCCTAGAAGCTAAAAATCCTCAACTTCACTAACATTTTAAAGAAAAATGATACAATGGTCAAAATTAGTCGTTCAAAAATAAAATGTTTTAAAGAAAAGTATACATTTATCTTCTCTAAATGTAGTGTACTTTATTTTGTCTCGTAATAAAAAAAATAAAATATAAATTATATGTATATATATTGAGCGAATTTTTTAGTCCTAAAAAATTGGAGGAAAAATAATATAATGACTCAAAAATAACCACTTGGGGCCAAAAATTTTAAAATAAGAAGTGCTATTTTTTTTTTATAATTTTTTTTTGTCATAAAAAAATAAATGTATAAGCTAAAATTATATTTATTAAGCTTTATTTTTTTTTTCGCTTCGGTCGTGTTAAAATATTTTCATTGTCCGTCAACTCTCAAAATACTTTTTGGAGAATAGGAGGGGTACCAATTCGATGTAATTTAATGACATGTTTCGGGGAATATAAACCAGGGGTGGGGGGATTGATAAGAGGATGGGGGGGGGGGGGGTTGCTAAACATATCTTTTATAAATAATATACTTAAACCAAACTAGATATTATAATTTAGTAGATGCCTGCAAATGGCAAAATTTTAACCGGTTGGAATATAGTTTTACCCGGTACGGCGGGTCAAAATTTGTCCGGTCTAGCCCGGTTCCAATTTTTTTAATGAGATTATCCAGTTTATAAAAACCAGAAATTGCATCTTATGGAAATATAACCAATAATGATGATTTCGGTTTCATAATAAACAAAAAAATGTAGGAAAAGGAATCACGAATGAAAAATCATAGTAGCAGAAAGTGTTGTTAAAAAACCCGTGGGTAGATTTCATAATACTACCTTGGCTAAAATCTTCGGGCCGTTTTTTTAGAATCAACCCGAATTGGGCTTATTGATAGCACCAGTATAGCAGATCATTTATAAAAAAATTTTCTTTCTATTCTCTATTAAGCTCTCCGGGCATTTCTACTTTTTGCAATCCCGGTCAAGCCCGTTATTTTTTTTGCCAAATAATCTTGGACGTTAATTACTGCAGACCTCTAGTAACATAATCTCATTTAAAAAAAATTTTTTTTGTATATCCAGTGTGTGAGCGAAACTGCTTCTTTACTAATTTAGTCTTATTTTTAAAAATGGCCTATTTAAGATTTTATCCAAAAATAACATTGTAAGCCTGGAGATTTTGCTCATATGGGACAGTCAGGTTTGGACTAGTGTTGTTAAACGGCTCTATTTTAACCTATTTTTAAAACCGATTAACTCAGACGATTTTTCACATAGATGGCGATGCTGGATAAAATAATGAGTTAACCGTTTTTAAAAATAGGCTCAAATCGAGCCTTTTAACAATACTAGTTTGGACCTCTATTCGTCAAATCTCGAGGTTTACATAAAATTATTATGACTAAAATCTTGATCGGGCCCGGATTTAAAAATCGACCCTATCGGGCCCCGATTAACAACACTATTATTTTGAAAGATAATTCGGGTAAATGAAAATATTTTTCTCTAAAAAAAATAAAAATACCTTCAAATGCCGCTCCGTTATTTTTCCTGTGTTGGGGATTGTCTTGTTTCCTACGCGACATGGATAAAGAAGGAAAAAAGCAATAATTGTCTGAGAATTATATTAAACTTTTGATCACCTTACGCGCGAAAAATTTTAGAAATTCGATTTCGTATATTTTTACGATGACGTTGAGGGTAAGGGGAAATGGCTAAATATTCAAAATTAGGATGCGACAATTATCAAAAATAAGATGCGTTTTGGATACGCGTCATCCACCGCGAAAATAGAAATAATTTTAAAAAAACTTTTAAAGTGTTTTGAAGGAGTAAATAAACGAGTAGAGGGGTTTATTCGTAAGTAACTTGATACTTCCCCCCCTTTATTTATCTCACTTTTTTTTAGGGGGCTAAGGATATATAATAAATTTTTAAAAATAAAAGTTTTATTCGAATTTCGGCGAAAATACTAAAATTCTAGAAAGAAACATTCATGGATTGAGTAAGGCGAAAAATTGTCGTGAGATCGTAATGGTCATCTGATAATTTTCTTTTTTTCTTCTTCTTCCGATATTTGTTTTGAAAAGAATGATCCTTTTTTGAAGATACATTTATTTACTTCTTTTTTTTCACCCCATTAAATCATCGTAGAATGGAAAACGCGATATTTTATAAATCCAAGGGTATTCCATAATATTGTCATTTTTTTTTCTTCTGCTTCTTCTTCAAAAAAAATCTTTAAAAAATCAAAAAAAATTTTGCTTGTTTAACTTTAAGTTTGTCCAAATATTTTAAAAAAATATTATTTCTAAGTAATACAAGTTGCTAAATTTAGATATTTAGTATTGGTTTCCAAATATATATTTTATTTTTTTTCTTTTTAAATTCTATAAAAATTAAATAATTTTTTTTACAAAAATTTTGTTACAAAATAAATTTATTTTAATTTTTAGAAATTAGTATTCTATTTTTTTGTTTAAGTACATTTTAGAATGGTACTTATTAAAAATCATTTTTTTATATTTTTTTTTATAAGGTATTTAAAAATTGGTTTTTTTTATCAATAATTATTAAAAGTTAAAAAAAAAAATTATATAACAAAATAATAATATTTTTATTTGAAATAAATAAATTATATTTATTACACAATAATAATTTATATGATTATAATAAATAAATCTAATATTTTTTTTTGAGGTCACTTTTAACAGTGCAAAAAAAATCTTAATTTTAAAAAAATAAAATATTAAAAATAAATAATTTTTTTTTTTAGTTTTTAACCCAAAAATATATATTTTTTGAGAAATGACAAATGTTGTCTTGTTTGTTATTTTTTTCCCCTCCCTCTATCTTTCTATAATTCTATTTGCAAATAAAAAGATAAAAAAAAATAAATCTTTTTCTATAGGGGAAGAACGCTAAAAGGGCGATTGAATTGAAAATTTATAATTGGTTTTTATTTTATATATATTATTTTTTTTCGCAATTTTTATAAATATTTCGTGATTTTGACATTTTTAAAAAAGTTTGGCTAACTCAGCCCAATTCTAACAAATGCATAATATTTATTATTTGGGAATATTTGGATCAATGACATAATAATAATACTTAGACCGACGATGCATTCATTCAAAGTGTACATCTATGAAAAACAGCTGGGGACGCCATTTTGGTTACCCATTATCATTATTAAAAATTTTGAACGAGAGTCCAACTTATTTCCATGTCTTACGCAAACTTTATTAAAGAATTGCCTGGTCATCGAGATAATAAGGAAGCAAGTTATCAATTTAATGGTAGTTTTTAACACGAGAATAAGTACTATACGGGTTACCAAAATGGTGGGTCCAGCTGATTTGCTGTAAACGACGCTTTCAAATGCATTATTATGAAGTCTAGGTATTCTTATATGTAGTGTTGTTAAACGGCTCGATTTGAGCCGATTTTTAAAAATGGCTAACTCAATGTATTAGCCAGAAAAATATTATCTAAGCCTCGAGATTAAGTTAATAGATGTTCAACCCTTAGTGCCACCTGCGAGCAAAATCCTAAGGCTTGCATAATATTTTTCCTAATTGTATTCGCCGTTTTTAAAAATCAGCTCAAAATGAGCCGTTTAACAACAACACTACTTATATGTCATTGATTTGGATAAATATTGGATATATCTTCTATTTTTAAAAAAAAATGATTATATTAGATAACTAATTTTCTCAAATCACCTCCCCTTCTCCACCTTCGAACTTTCATTCATTGGTGATTAATAACATTTTTTTTTAAAAAAAAAATATTTCTCTCCCATATATATTTTTTATCATATATTTTAGGAGGAGAAAATAAAAAATCACTTCTTGTTTATTTTTAGCCCCAAAGTTATATTCAAAAAAAAAGTTATTTAAATAATGACAAAAAGGTTATGAAATAACCTCAGAATTTATTTAATCAAAATAATTTAACCATCGCGATTTAAATAATTACTTTGCTACGGGTGAGAAAAAAAATATAAGCCTGTCTAATTTGAACCCTTAAAAAAATCTATCTATTTTTAGTTATATTTAAATTTTCCAGGAAATTGAAAAAAAATAAAATAAAATACTTTGATCGCGTAAAATAAAATGGCCGATTATAGTCTCTATTATTTGAAAGTTTGAATAATGGAGGCTTAATTTTTTTTTAAAAAAGATTCTTCTACCTATCCAACCCTTAAATCACTTAAATTTAAAATAAATTACTGTAAAAATTAGTGTTGTTAAACGGCTCATTTTTTAGCCGATTTTTAAATAGGCTAACTCAATATTTTATTAGTAAAATTATTATGGAAGCCTTAAGATTTTGCGCATAGGTGGCACAAAGGTTTGAATATCTATTAACGAAATTTCGAGGCTTAAACAATATTTTACTGGCTAAAATAGTGAGTTAGCCGTTTTTAAAAATCGGCTCAAATCGAGCCGTTTAACAACACTAGTAAAAATGAATAAATATTATTTATAAATTGTTCCATTCCATTCCGTTATTTTTATTTTTTTTAAATGGCGAAACCTAGTAGCCAATCAAAGATTATTTATCCTCTCGGAACCTCCGGGGGAAACGAGGGTAGATTGACTCTATTTGCCTCAAGGCATAAAGAAATGAATCATTTATTTTTCGCTCTCTGAGTATCTTCTTCACTTATAATTTTATAAAGTAGGAATATAGCGGGTAGTTTTAGTCAAACTTACTTTGCTTTATTGGAATTTAAAAAAATGTCGAAATCTCAGTTGGTCCCCTATTCGTCTTTCAAATTGAGGTCCCAGATAGTTATCTTCCCTTTAATATGTAAAATTATTATTATAATAAATCACTGGCATAAGTGTTATTGGGTACGTTATAACATTTTGTGTTATCCCCTAAATAAATATTAGTATCCCCTTATCTTCAAAACCCAAATTTCCCATAGGTAAGGAAGTTAAATAATAAAAAATCTTCTTTTTTTGATTGACATGGAAAGTTCAAAAAATTCGGACATCCGTCAAAAAAAGGATTCAAATTCTCGCCTTTTATTCCTCCCATAAAAAAAATACTTTTCTTTTCTATTGAAGTTTTAAAATTTTAAAAACCTAATGATAAAAGTTTTATTGACGTTCTGGAAATAGCCTATGAGAAATGTTTCATCTCGAGGTAATAGTAGTGTTATTAAACAGCTCGATTTGAACCGATGACACAATATATTATTCAGAAAAATATTACGCAGGCCTGAATATTTTGCTCATAGATGGCACAAAGGCTTGGCCATATATTAGTGAAATCTCAAGGCATAGACAATATTTCTCTGGCTAAAATATGGAGTTAGCCGTTTTTTAAACTTTGGATCAAATTAAACCGTTTAACAATACTATGTAATCAATCGTTAGAAAAAAGTGCTCACATTAACCAGGTTAATGAAATTTGCTCAAATTATCTAGAAAATGAGGGTCAGATTTGTCCATCAATTCATTTATTGTATAATAACAATAATATATAAAATTACGTAATAAATATAATTCCATTCCTTTTTCCTAATACATAAGGTCGTTGATCTGGTCATTTCCCACTTATCATAACGATGACAAAAAAATAATATATATTGACCCTTTTTTCACAAAGGAACTACCAAGAAGAATTGTAAAGTGTCATAAATAATATTACGTAATAAATGCAATATACGATACAAAAAAATGAATGAATGAAGAAAAAAAAATAAAGTTAAGGTAATATAGCAGAACCTTTAAAAGTGACTATGGTCAACTAGATAAACTGACCACCCCTGACTTACAGTCCACTTAATAAAAGTTTCTTTTTTTTGATCTTTTTAAATTTATAGACATATTATTTTTACAATTTTGGTTGAACAAGGTATAAAAAATATATATATAATTAATTATTATATAATTTAAAAATAATATATTGTATATATATAATAAATATATATAAAAAAATTGTTTAATAGGGGAAAAATTTTATTTTTTAAAAGTATAATAAATTGCAAGGGTCATTCATCTATGTGTGGTTCTTTGGCCTTTATCCCCTTCTCATCATATTTTAAATAAAGTATATAAAAGTATAATATTTAATTTTATTATATAATAAATAATAATAATATAAAATACTTTTTTTATTATTATTAGTGAAATACCACCATACCACCTTGAAAATCCTTTATCTACTTAGCAAGCACTATTTTTTTCAAAAGTAGACTATAAAAGAAAAGAAGCTTAGACCAATAAATATTTTCTTCTTTAGAGAATATCGTTAGTTTGCTCAAACTATTCTGAAAAAGTTTTAAAGTTTTAGCCTTTCCAGTGTTCATATTTTATATATTACTAGAAGAAAGTTAATTTGTTAATTTTTTATTATTATTATAACCAAATGGTCAATAACTTCTGTGAAGTAAAAAAATTAATATTATATAATAATGTAATATTATACTTCACCGATTCATAATAGTGAATGGCAAAAAAATATATATATATGTATTATTCTTACACATATCAACTTTTTATAATAATTAAATAGTATAAAATAAAAATAATAAAAAAAATACGGCCTATCGCTTTGAAATTGATTAATTAAAGAAGTTCGAATTGATTGGTATTTTTTTCTTTTACCAGCGATTTTATAAATCCATATAGGCAATTAAAATTTAAAATTAAAAGGAGTAATTAATCCGGTTGGATGGATTAATTTTATATATGTATATAATACCACACAAAAGGTCGATTACTTTAAAAAATAAAAGTATTAATGTTTTAATAAATGAAAAATAAAAGGTTATAAGGTCGTATAAAAACTGCCCTACCTAAATTTTGTTATGGGGGGAGTGGGGCTGAGCAAACAATGCCCTGGTTATTCCTATTTTCTAACATTATTCATACTTGGGAATTGGAGTGCACTACCTCGATTCACCACAAGACTGATGTACTATAATGGGAATTTCTTACAAGCCGATCAGGCGCTTCCAGGAGTGGTGGGGGGGGGAAATGGGGTTTTGCCTCATCGCTTCACGAAAATAT